TAAACATTCTAGCATTGCTTCACACATGAGCTTTTCAGGGATACCTCATCTCTAAACCACCACAATCCTCTAGCACCTGACTACTGTTGGAATAACTTTTGGTTTACAGCTAGCAGCTACGAGCAACTCCAAGTGCTTGAAAAATCTATGCTCGTTCAGGCCTGACAGGAACACCTGCAGGACAGGTTGCTCTGCTCTAGTGAGCCTTTAGTGAAACCAATCCTCAGCACTTGTGGTTAGTGTTGCAGACTACCAGGCCAGGAAACTGATAATCAGGAGCTTCAGCGCATGAAACCCTGACTCAGAAGACCCCCTCCCCTAAGGACAAAGACACTTCCAGACTGCTTTCCACCACGACAGCAATATTTAGAGCTTCCTCATAGTGCAGTTACATTAGGCATAAGGTGATTGGCTTATGGATATTATCTTGCTTATGTATGATTGACGTGCATGTCCCACCCAAACCCTATAACTGTTGTATGCATTCCAAATTTAAACAGACTGCTGGACGTCGACTGCAGTTGTCACCAGCCAGCTTCTCATCAGCCCCTGGTGTCTGTGTGTTGACTCCATGTCTCTACCCTCAGCAACTGAGGTAGCCGAGTGACCAATTGACCACACCAGTAACCAGAACGACCACAGACTACCATATCCATGGCCCAGGATTTGATCTCCTGCACTTCCCCCAAATGCTTATTTGCCATCTGTATTTTTTCTTTGGTAAAATTTTAGTTACTCTTCTAACCTATTCTTTTTTTAGATTAATTTTTTATTGAGTTTTCAGAGTTGTTTCTATGTTCTGCATGAATATACCCTTTTAGAAATTAATATTTTTAACAAGTATAAAAATCTTTCTACAATAGAAATTTTTGAAATAATTGATCAATTAAGTCACAAATTAGAAGCAATGGTTTTATACCAAAAATTGTGACTAGTCTTACTATGACATATAAAGGATGAGCTTAGTTTGTCAGACTTGCTCGGAATTAATTTTTTGTAATGTGAAAAATATTAACTTCATCATTTGTGGTTTTTAAAGGAATTTCAGAAAAGAAAAAGTTTGTATTTTTAAAATACAATATGTGACATTGCCATTTGTGTAGACAACTAACATCATTGTTCTGGTGATTTAGGGTTAAAAATGAAGTATATTAGTGAGTGGATTTTTATATTAATTTCCAGCGAATAATAATTACTCAAAATAAAAAAAATAATAATTAGTCAAAATGCCCCCAATTTCAACCTAATTTCTTTTAATTTTATAAATTCTACCTACCATACTTAATCCTCAAATTATAGGTAAGATATACTTTTTCATTCATGGATCCCAGTCAATGGAGTAAAGGATCTTGTGTTTTTCTTTATTTATAGTGCATTTATATAGTTATATTAACATCTCCCCCCAAAATGTTTTTTGTTCTTACTTTTACCCTCCTGGTTTTCTTTGTTTTTCTGTGCTAGACATTTCTTCATTCTTGAGTGCTAACTTTTCTAAGTTGAGTATGCATTCCACAGTGAATATGTTGTTTTATTCTGTTTGTATGTGTTATCCAACTTAAAACAATTTGAAAACCCTTTACTGCTTGTTCTGTATTATAATTTTATAAAGTCTTACAAAATGACCAGTATATTTAATTAATTTATTTATTTGCAGTACTGGAGATTAAACCCAGGGTGCTTTACCTCTGAGCTATATTTTCAGTCCATTTTCTTTTTTGAGACAGGATCTCAGTTGCTTAGGGATTTGCTCTGTTGCTGAGGCTGGCCTTGAACTTGAGATCCTCTTGCCCCAGCCTCTTGAGTTGCTGGGATTAACAGTCATGTACCACCTTGTGTGGTATGACTAGTGTATTTTAATCACGACTAAAACAAGTTGCATTTTTTTCACTGTGATATCATATTTCTTCCATTAAATTGTTCAGTCGCCTTCCTCTAATCTTCTGTGTTATAGTTAGTATAATAATTATTGCTTTTGAAAAAGTGAATGTTTTGTAATGTACCACCCTGCATTTATTTCTGTTAATACTTATGCCTTGATTTCAGTGCCAAAAGACTTTCTTATAAGTGATGTATTATATTAGGTTGCCTGTGTTTACTTTGGTCATTTCATCACTGTCCAGGTATTCTACAAGTAGCAAAGTCTTTGCTGCTGCCAGTAGCATACCAATGACCCAGCAATATTATTATTTTTACAGTGCTGAGGATTAAACCCAGGACCTAATGTATGCTTATCAAGCTATGTACTATTGAGCTACATCCTCAGTATGAGCAAACTTTTCTTACTTTTTTACCAGAAGTCAGTGCTGTCTTTGTTAAGCAGATTTTAAATCTCCACATTGGATCATTTCATTTGATACCTTTTCTTGTATATGAAATAACTCTAAAATGGTACAGTATCTCAAGAGATTTAACACTAAAATAGTATTGTTTATACCTTTGACTACCAAGTTAGTCACTGGTCATTTATCTTGAGAGTTTCTCTACTTCCTTCTACTGTTCTTAAAAGAAAAGCAGATCTTTAGATAGCTGTTATATTGTTCAGAAATGCTTGTATATGAAGTATTTGGTGATATTTTATATGATATTGGAAAGCATTACTTAGAATTCAAATTCTCTTATATAATGTCATAATAAGTATTAAAATTCATTTAGAAAGGTAAGGTTCTATTTATTTATTTATTTAAGTTCACTCCTTAAAAATTCTGAATTATTTTTCAGTAACATTAAATTTTATTTAAAAGTGCTCTGTAGTTAAAATATTTTCATTAAAATATGAATATAAGCATTATCGAATTACAGAAAGCACAAAAGGGAAAAGACTTATAATAAAAATGCTATATACATGTTAATATTATATCCTTTCTTATAATTTCAATGAATTTTAACGAAAAAATACTAATCACATTGAATACATTTTTACATTTTGATAATGTCATTGAACAGTAAATACAAGGGCCTTATTATATTTTATTTTTCATAAATTACAGATGTTTACATTTTGTGTTATTTTGACTTTATCTTTATTTGCTTCTTTAGTACATTTTTAATATATTCATTCACTCTATACTATTCATATATTTGTAATGTTATAATTCTTTCCTTTAATAGTGAAACATGTAAACGATAATATTACATTTATATTGTTTTTGGTCTTACTTTATTACATATTATGATAAGACGAGCAACTTTAGCATACTTTTGTATAGTATCTTTTATGATTTGGATTACTTTCATGAGGTAGAGTCTCTCAACCAATAGAATTTTACAGTAATATGAAATAGACATTTTCTTTTTTGGCTCTTGATATCCATGAGTGCTGAGTATTATAATTTATATACTCAGCTAATTTGTTGTGTAGACATGTGTATGTCTTCAATTGCTAGCAAGAGGGGTTCATTAGTTTTCAACATTAGTGTATCATTTTTTTCTTTTGTTTATTGTTCATTTGTCCATTTATATGAGACTTAATATTTTTATTTCTCTTTTATGTGAGCACTTAACTTGGTTGGTAAAATAACCTTTTTGTTTTTAAACATTCTCTTTTTATTACAGTTAAATTTTTGTTTGGTTTTGCTTTTATATAGAAAAGCTTTATGTTTTGTTCTAAAGTTGGT